TCATTATTATGTCCAACCAACATCTCACAGTCACTTTCATCTTCAGTTTCATCATCATTGATATTGTCAGATCTTGCGGATATGGTTTCTATCTTCTTTTCCTTTTTCTGATCTAGTTTGTTTGATTCAGACTTATTAATGATATCTGCTAGTTTTTGATAATAGGCGAACGGTTTATACTCATTTTTTTCAATTCTTGTTCCATCTTGCTGGTAGAGTTCGAGACCATACTTTCTATTCAAATTATCATTTTCTGCATGTTTCGGGTAAGCAGCTGGGGGTTTCTTTTCAACCTCTATTCCCTTATTTTTGCACTTTTTGACTTCAATTCCTTTTTCATAGCAGGAGACAACCAGATATGTTTCATTAATGTTACCCATATCTGTGGGCTGTCGATAATAATTAAATGCATCATAGTTATTCTTTTCGATACCAATTCTATTTTCATGGCAGGGTTTTACCAGGTATGTTCCATCAGAGTTATTCATATCAACGGCTTTTTGATAATAAATGAATGTATCAGAACTATTCTTTCCAAGACTGCTTCTATTTTAGTAGTAAGGTACAAGATCATAATTTTCATCAGCAGAATCTATAGTAGCAAGTTTTCTGGGGCCTTCAAATGCTTTATGCTCATCTATTTCAGCTTTAGTTGCACAATCGTCAATATTGCTTGATTCATTAGTATAGTCCATACCCATTGATTTTTGATTATCGATCGATGTCTTTTTTTCATCTTTTTTATTCACAATTCCATTTTGATGACAGTAACCAAGATTGCCTTTTCTATTGGTACTACCTATTTCTGCTAGTTTTTGGTAATGGGTGAGCATCTTCGGTTCATCCTTTTCAACTCTATTCCTTTTATTCTCATTCTTTTCAATACTAGTTCTATTTTGATAACAGTATCCACGATTTGCTGGTTTGGGATTTTCAAGTTCCTTTGGTTTAGGCATCCAATTTTTTAACATTTCCATGTATCCATCGATCAGGCTTTTTAGAGTGATTTTAGTATCAGCATTACTTATATTGGCTGCTACTTCCGAAGCAAGATATAGGTCAATTATTTCAGTGGTTTGGTCCTTTTTGTATTGTGATAGTGGTAGAGAAACCTTCGGGCTTGGAGCAGCTAGGACCATTGGGGTGCAAGTAGCTGACTTTTTCTTTTCATTCTTTTCACAGTTGGAGCTAGTTGGATATACAAGGGTAGATATACAACCTCTTCTTGTTCGTCATCTAGGTTGCTCTTCAGATGAACATGCTCTAAAATTTTTGCAAAGAGTTTCAGGGCTTGTGGGTCACCTAAATTTTGATCTCTGATAGTTTGGTCAACTATTTTTCTAACTTCTGCGGCTTGTTCTTCGGTAAGTATGTCATACAGTTCTAGATATTTCAGTAATATTCTATTTATTTTAGGGCATATACTAACGTGGTATTCTTTTCTGCTACAGTAGATGCATTGTATTGCTTGTTGTGGGCTTCTTTGGCTTTGTCTATTATTTTGGGATTTTTTCTGGGCTTGCTGTGGTAAGGTCTTTTTTGTTCGATACTAAGTACTTGTCTTGGGATATTGACATGATTTGGCTCAACCTGTGACCGGTATTCAATTTTGTGTGATATTATCGAAGTCCATAACTTAGTGCTAGTGATTAAAGTTCATTTCACAGTGCTGGCCAGAAGGGAAGTTCCAATCTCACAGTCACCACCAAATGTGGCAGAAAATCAGTATAAAAATAAAACTAAGCTAACAAGGGTCTCTACTACACTAAATTCCAACACAAGTACTACTAAATTTAATAATATCTTTCCTCTATACCCTATGTGGTAGACTTCGATTGAGGCGTGGATTGATTTGGTCTGAGAATAGAGTCAATTTGAGCTCTAGACTACATCATGAATTTCTTTATACAGAATTACAGGATTTGATCACTATTTCTAATTGTTATTATAGATTTTAATTATCGGGATGGGATCACAAGTTAAATACTCTGATTTCTTTAACTTGGAACTTCCAACTCAAGGAAGTTATTTTATTTATAATCAATTTTGCAGCGTTTAAATACATTTGTCTGTTTCTAACTTTACTTTGCATTTTTCTTCTATTTTTACCATATCTACCCTATATATTATATTTGTTTTATTTTGCCACATTTGCCATATCTGATATATATGGTATATCTGGCAGATTCATCAGAAATATCTGATTTGGCAAAATTGACCCAAGCTATCTTGATGTCGATCTTAACTATTTTTCTCTCTCACAATGGCAGGTTGGTCACAACTGTTATGTGCAGGTGTGGGGCACATAACATAAGTAATATAATTAATCATGTTTATTTTATTAAATAATAAACTAGATATTTCAACCTGTTGTTAGACAACGGGTAGTATAATACAAATCAATCACATCCGATATTGATGTATGATCAGAGCGCTTAGTATTCTTCTGTCTTACAAGAAGCTTTGTGTTCGATCGAATTATTTTATTTTATAGAGACTGACACTATGGATGTGACTTTAGATATTGGTTGATTATAACAGTTATGTGCAGGTGTGGGCACATAATACGACTCCCAGAGGTACACTAAAAAACCAAAATAAATGTGACTATAGGTGGCAGGTTGGTCATGACTGTTATGTGTGGATATGGGGTGCATAACATAAATGTCAAATTTATTAAATGATAAAGTAAGTAATATAATTAATCATATTTATTTTTATTAAATGATAAATACTAACAATTAAATTTTTTTATTTAATAGAAACTGATGCTATAGATGTGACTTTAGATATTGGTTGGTCACGACAGTTATGTGTGGGTGTGGGGCACATAATACAACTCCAGGAGGTACATTGAAAAAAAAAATTTTTTTAAAAACAAACCAAAATGGATGGCAGGTTGGTCACAACTATTATGTGTGGGTGTGGGACACATAACACAAGTAATATAATTAATCATGTTTATTTTATTAAATAATAAACTAGATGTTTCAACCTGTTGTTGGACAACGGGTAGTGTAATACAAATCAATCACATCTGATATTGATGTACGATCAGAGTGCTTAGTATTCTTCTGTCTTACAGAAGCTTTGTGTTCGTCGAATTACAGTATTTTATTTTATAGAGACCGATGCTATGGACGTGACTTTAGAATTGGTTGGTCACGACAGTTATGTGTGGGTGTAGGCACATAATATGACTCCCAGAGGTACACTAAAAAACCAAAATGGACATGACTATAGGTGGCAGGTTGGTCACGACTGTTATATGTGGGTATGGGGCGCATAACATAAATGTCAAATTCATTAAATGATAAAGTAAGTAATATAATTAATCATATTTATTTTTATTAAATGATAAATACTAACAATTAAATTTTTTTATTTAATAGAAACTGACACTATGGATGTGACTTTAGATATTGGTTGGTCATGACAGTTATGTGTGGGTGTGGAGCACATAACCTAAAAGCCTAAATTCATTAAATGACAGAGGCGTCAATGAACAAAGAGCTGTAGCAAATATTGTTGAAACTGAACAAATTCTTTCAATTAAGATAATGAATAGTTTGCTTTATTACGAATAAACTTGATGTACTATTGTATATAGGCGATAATTCATGTAAATTATAATACTATATACTTATAGATTGATGATTCAAATCATGATGTCTCATTTTTACAAGTCCGTGGGTCAAGTAATTATATATGATATTAAATTATAAGTTTAGTATTACTTATTATCAGAATTCTCTGATAATAAAAAATTGTTTATATATAGTTCCATTATTTTGGTCTCAAACTCCATATAGCCTAAAACTGAAACCAACTCTTGAAAGATCTGCGGATGAAAATGCTGAAGCATTCGCAAAGCATTTCGATATTCTATTAAATGCATATGAACACACTAATAGCATAAATCTGGTTGAGTCCCATGGAAGAGAAGCAATTATTGGTACCGCTTTTCGCGAAGCCATTCAAAATTAGGAAATAAAAATATTGAGTTTGTATTGTTATTTTGTACTAGAATTAATTTTCAAATGCCATTTGCACTAAAACATTTTATTATTAGATAGGTATGTCGAGTTTGATTTTCATAAAGAATTTAGAGAAATGAAATATGAAAACATTTTCTATGCTGGTGTCTACACTTGCTAGAAATTTTCATTCTATGGGTAATCAGATTTTTCGCCACCTTGTATTATTATCGTTTATTAATTTGTTAACAGATATTAATTTTGAAATCTATTTATTTATAGATATTTATAGCTATTTCTGGTGAGTTGGCAATAATGAAGTTTATTGTAAGCAAGTAGGAATATTTTGCACGGTTTGTTATCATCGCATGATTATTATTATTTCGTTTTGAAAATTAGATATAGTGAATTTTATCTTACTTGATGATTGGAATTGTATGGATTGTTTGATAGGACAAATGTTGTACAGGTAAGTACTTCTTTAAGGTCAAATTTTAATAATTTTAATTTATAATACGTTAATTATTTTAGGCCAGTTCAAGTTATTTTTTTGGTTCTCATAACCCGGCCGGGTCAAATTTTACAAACCTTTAAAAAAATTTTTTGAGTATATTTACTATCCAGGTGGGTTTTTCTAAAAAAATTATATATATTTTTTATATATAAAATTTTTTTGAAAATAAAATTAAAAGCCAGGTTGCCGGGTCACTTTCAAAAATTTTATGTTATGAGAACCAAAAAATTAACTTGGTCTGGCCTTATCTTTATTATTATTTTTATACAGAGCGCATTAGCACGAGAAGTTTTGAACCTACAACTTCTTAGACTTGGTGTCTCAAAATTCATAGATAGTTCCATGTGCGTTATTTCGAAATATAGATTAAATAAACATCTCTTCATTATAAGAAGTATAATAAGAAATCTTGAACTAGATTTTATACTAAGTAAACCTGCTTATACCATTTTTATAATTGTCTTAGTATAAAGAACAACTTTTGTTAGATCGCAAAAGCAGGTTTACTTAGTACCAAATCATTTCGAAGCACTTTTTATTCTTTATTTTTTTATAGAGGTATGCACGTTAATTCAGGACACATATCGATGTGAGCATTAATTCAAAATTACATATACTATTTTTAAAGGTTCTGATTTTCAAAATAATGCCCACGGGTGTTATTCCGTGTTATATAGTACTTTTATGGCAATACAAAAAATTTTATATATGGCATGCTCGACTTAATCATATTAAAAACCAAAATGGTTAGTGCCTCTATTGTGTAAGAAATAAATGTAAATTAACACTTGATAATGCAACTTTAGTAAGAATGGCAAATGTCTTTCTACAGAATATCAAAATAACAAAAGCCCACTCTTATGGCAATGCAAAAAATTTCATACATGGCATGCTCGACTTAATCATATTAAAAACCAAAATGATTGGTGTCCCTATTGCAATAATGATGTGGTTGCTGTTTCCATATAAATAAACTCAATTTTTCTATTAAATGACAAGATTCCATCATATTTTGCTTTTTTGATGATTTAATTCCAAGTAACTTTTGTGCTTTGCTTTTGACTTCACCACTATTATACAGGAACAAAATTAGCTAATACAACATAAAACACAACAGTTTTATTTAGAACATACCGTTGGAGGATACAATCATTAAATAAAGCTAAGCAATCATCGAAAAATGGCGCAACAATGGTGCTGTTGTACCATCCTTCTTGTAATTCGGAACTATCTAAATTCAATACACCCTTGTCTTGACAAAGAAAAAAACTGAAAACAAGATAAATAAATATACTTTACAAAAATATACTTACAATTTCTCAAACAAATGACGCAAATATACAGTATCTCTATTAGAATTTTCGTAGTTAATAGTGTTATTTGAAAGAGTTTTTCCAAGCTCGATAATGATGTCTAAATGTGTTAATTAATCCTTCTCGATGAATTCGGTTACATAAAACGGATTATTTCCGACATCTGTGATTATTTCTTGTTTTCTTTGTACGCCTGTGTCTTATTTTCATCACACTCGATGCACACTAACAAATAAGCATTATTACCTTCTGAGACAAATGAATTTTATCTACGTAGATAGCTTCATTAATGTTAATATCATTATTTTCATAAAATCGCATACCATACGAATTTTCGATATCGTTCTGTCATAATTTGTTCATATGTTATGTGTTCGCCAAAAAAGTTATAAAAGACATTTTTGTGACCTGATCGTAATTACCTTTTGAATACAAGGGAACCCAATACCTGACAGGTATATTTGATGTTCGGGAGTTCTTGGTTGTTGATCTCGCCAATGAACAGGGAAATAACCAATTCTCGTTCGCTTTGGGACTTTATCATTGTCCTAAAGATTAAGATTATAGTTTTATTAGGAACGAATGCAAAATGATAGTTTAGTAAAAAAATTGTGTACCTGATTATCGGAAACTTGAACCTCTCTTTTTGAAGATCTGGAAACGATCCCATTTACAGTTCCTATTGTTCCATTATTCACAGTCCCACGGAGATTTCTATCCACGAATATCGGCTGGTGGAGGTAGATCGATCTATAGGCATGTTCCCTTTCCCAATTTCTTGCTCTTTTGTAATCGGGTTTAGGATCCTAGCACAAAAAAAATTAATTTTTGAACCGATTTCCTATAACTCTATCATTCTCATTCCAACTGCCAGATCAGCTTATAGTCTTGAACGTCAAACAGCCTCGGAGAACCATTTGGGCTGGTACTGAGTCAGCTTTTAGCTTTGAACATTAGTCAACCTCGGAGAGTCTCCTGTGCCTCAATACCGCCAAATGACAAGAAACCTCAGAGAATCCCTTTCCATCCATTTCCCGCCTGCATTTTCAACAAAAAATACTTTTATACTTGCCTTTCTATATTGGTTGAGCAAATATTGTGCTCTTTCGCGTCTGTATCCTTCTTCATTATTAGTTATGGTTTCAAGACACGCAACATAATATGATATCTTCCGGTCAAAAGGTTCCACTTCACATTCTTCAGAAATTCCAAAATATTCCATTGGGAGCATGCACGTTCGAAGTATTTGTGCCGCATGGAGTAAAAAAAATGTAAATAGGTTATTGGAATATTATTTGGAAAATACTAGCTGAATCGTGTTGTATTACAGACGTGTTTGCAATGAGGTAAGGAAGAACTTATTGAAAATTTTCCACTATCATAAAATTTCGATGTTAAAGAGATAAAACAATATCAGTCCTTGTTTTCTCGTATTCTTTTGGTAAAGTCGTTCATGGTTCTTCTCCATTTTAGGATTTATCACGTTGTATCAAAAGGTCATAACCTCTGCATGCAGAGCTTGAGTGCCAATTTAGTGTGATACCTAAATTTTTGTATAATGTGTATAGCGTAGCTTTTATAAACTACCTATATCAGAAATATAATGATTATACTAGAGGTCAAAACCAGTTGTAAATTTTAAGACTCAGATTGGATTTGCGTGTAATATAAAACCCCGGTTATTATTTAAGTTAAACCGGGTGGAATTTAAACCGAGTTGCATGATGTAATATGATATGATGTAATTGGATGATCGACAAGAACTTTGATTGGCCAAAATCATTTATCTTGTTCACGTGAAATTTTAACATTTTCTCAAAGAATAACAATTCACAATAAAATACTGATTTAAATTTTCGTCCGAGTTTGCAACCGGATTTAAAATACTATAAAACCGATTTATTATTACAGCTATTATCATAATTTCTGAGACACCTGCTCATTACCCGAAATCTTTTTGGTCGTTCAGTAAATTACCTAACTCTCCGGAAATTACATCGCTATCTTCGGACCTTCAGTCCAAAGGCAGTGATATAATTTCCAGAGAGTTAGGTAATTTACCGAATGACCAAAAAGATTTCGGGTAATGAGCAGGTGTTCCAGAAATTATGATAATAGCTGTAAAACGGGTTAACCTGAATTTATACTCAAATTCATTAACCGGTTCCGACCTCTAGATCATACTTATAAGCTTACATAGTTTCGCCTAGAAAAAATTATAGCCGTATAATATTCTGGACATACTTATAATTGTAATCGATATGGCTTTCGATTATTGTAAAGTATATTAAAAAGAATTATACTAATTAGTATTTAGTAACGTGCAGTATTTTTTACTGATTGAAGAATAACTTAGTCAATTTCCAATGTAATTGACAAACTTATTATAATTCAATTCACTAAAAGAACCTTAGTATAATATTATACTTTACATTTATAAAAAAAAACATAATAATAATTGTCGGGGATGATGCTGAAATCGGATGATGCTGAAATTTTGACTTATTTTATTATGAAAATGTAAAATTT